CGCATATATTTTATCAAGAGTTCGCTTTTGTCTATCTAATGCATTCATCCTATTAGGAATTAAAATAAAATAAATAAATCAATTAAATAGATATTAATGACACATTCTAGTCAACACAATAATATCTATTCTAGTTAGCAAAATAATATTTTTACCTTTTCTCCTTTTCCAATTTTGCATTCAAATAGGCACAAGTTTGACTCAGACGATTGATTTCATCAAGAAGAAAAGACACCTTCCTTGACAAATTCTTTAAATGCGAAGCAGCTTTAAAAACAATAATTATAAGTGAGTATCAAAAATGGCGATCACCTTTCTGAAGTAAAGCAGCTTTACTCATTTTGCGAAGTGAATAAGTGGACGGAAGTTGTCTACGGAGTTCCTCAAAGCCATCATTGATTTCTGCACGTCGTTTTTGCTCTGATTGAATGTGCATTTGACGTCTAAACTCAGCATGATCGAATGGCTCAAGTTTTGCCTGTCATGCATATTTTTGCTATAATGAAAAAATGGAATGTCCGATTCATCTACTAAAGGAAGGTCTTGATATTCAAGTGAAGTTGCAGGTGAATGGATTTGAGAAAATTGTGTTTCTTGAACTTCATGCATATAGTCAAGAGAAAACATATTTAAAAGTTCGGTTTGCATTCCTAAAGGAACTGGTGATAGGTCATTTAAAACTTTATTAGCTTATAAAAAGTGTAGTAACAAATATGAACCAAAAAGTACGCTGTAAATTTATTTATTATTTAAATTTTTTTCTTTATTTTAAATATCCTAGTCGAGCGCGCTTAGTTTAACAAAAAAATAGATAAATAGAAAAATTTATCTGAGCTTAGGGACACGGGGGTTTGGGTGTTTATAAAGAATATTTCATCTGAGTTTAGATCCTTGGGGGTTTGAGAGTGATTCTGCATGTTCTCAAGATTTTTTTTGACCAGATACAAGGATCCTTTAAGCAAACGTAGGGAACATTAAATATTTATTTTAATAAATATTTATACAATTGTACATATATCAAACCTGTCTTAAATTTTTCAGGTAATGAACAGCACTAGGAATATTAAATAAGATAAGAGCAAACGAGCGAGTCAATTTATCTGATTTTTTTTTTCGTGAATTCCCGTGTAAAAAATAAAAAACTTTATATATACAGTATCATTACTATATATTTATTAATACGATTGTGACTTAAATTTTTTAAACAACAGGTTTAAAAAATATATAAGATCTGCAATATGTATAACTGGACATAAAAAAACTTGCTTTATGATATGTTTAAAATAAGTATATATATGCTATTAATATATTAATATATAATGATAATGCATGGAATTTATCAGAGCAGCCTTTGCCATTCTACAAGTCAGAAGATTTTAACTAAGATGTACAATTCCATTTATTCAAAGTATCAGTGTAAACTACAGTTAATATAAATTATAATATAAAACTATAGCTGACTATAGTTTTTAAATAAACTATAAAAGTACTGTATTTATTAGACAAATGTTTGGGCACGTGCATAATTATAAAAAAATTTAAATAAATTAAACACGCAAATAAAGTTTAAGCTTCAGCAAAATGTTAAAAAAGAAAACTATTATTACTTTGGCCGTAATCGAAGACTTCGAAGTTTTTAATCCAAAATCGTACAAGCTAGTCTATGTTTTAATCGAAGGAGAAGAATTTAAAGATGGAGAACAGAGATTCAAGACGAAAAATGTGGCGAAAAAACGTGAACAATTGTTTCACGAAGAAATTGAGAAACATAATCAAAGGGTTGAAAGGGCGGCAATTATAAAAGACCAAGTCGCTGAAGCACTTTTAATTTCAAATACGTCATTTATCGCGAAGTATGAAATGTTGTTAGATTTGGAAGATAAAGCAACTAAAGAACGTTTAACTGTTGAAATATTCAAAGAATTTGAAGTATTGATTCGTGGAAGTAGATTGAAAATTCCAAACACTGAAAAACCAGATGATTTGATCTTGGTACTTGCAGTACAATACGAAAAATCTAAACAGATCATTAATGAAATGTCAGTATAGTGCGTATCGGTATAAATGTTATATTAGTAACATATTTGTGTAGCCTTTATACTTTTATTAGCATGAAAGTAAAATAAAGTATAGCGATAGCATTATTTATTTTCGTTGTTACTTGAAAGTCATCTTTACTTTATTATTGAAATATAATTTTGGTAACGTTTATAGTAAAAGAATTATTGCAAATTTATAAAAAAAAGAACCATACTTCTTTAAAGGATTCTTCAGTTTCATTATCTAATTTATCAAGTATATCTTTATGCTTTTCTGTAACTTCTTTAAACTTATCTAACTCACATCTTGAAAGTAAATATAGATCTTATTTGTATTTATTGCGAACATTCTCAATGTAATTGCTTACATTATCTAGTAAATTTAAAGAAACACTTTGAAATAATTATGCACGTGCCCAAACATTTGTCTAATAAATACAGTACTTTTATAGTTTATTTAAAAACTATAGTCA